TGGAGAAAGAGAGAGGAAGGTTGGCCTGGGCCAGGCTGGATCCTTGGAACTCAGCAGGCCACATGCATCACAGTAATTTAAAAACAGATTATTTTTGAAATTCTCTAAAATTCTGGATTAAACGTTTTCCAATTGTATATGGACATAGGTTTGCAGAATTTTGCTCCTAAGGCTTTTAGGGTGAACTAACACCTGTGCACTGGAACAAAGGGCTGTCATGGCTCAGGTTAGTTGTCAGGTGTGTTCTTTGCTGGGTCGTGCCCATCCACAGCACCTGGGGAGGTTTCCAACACTGTCCTCTCTCCCAAGCTGGGAACTGATCATGAAACAGAAGGGATGAACTGCTCCTGATCCCCCTGCCTGTGTATTGAGCACTGATGCTGTGGAGAAGGACTTGGGCTGAAGGGTAAGATGTGGTGCTCAGGTGAAACTGAGAAGTAAGGCTTTATCTTAAACCCAGGTTGCACTGACCCAGGTAAAACCAGTTTGGAGAACAAATCTTGCACGGATAAGTTTTACTGATTTAAAACTATTTTATGGTTGTGATTTGCCCTTGTAAACTTACTGGTGCAAACCAAAGCTATGTAGATTCTGTTTAAATTGAGGTTAAGTTTTAACTTAACACCTTTTTACCAGCTTGATGGAATCAATGTAAAAGCACTGGGGAGAGGTGCAGGAATGTGCCTGAGCCTGCAGGAGAAGGGCTGGGCTGTCATTTCAACCCTTAAACTATTTTATGGTTGTGATTTGCCCTTGTAAACTTACTGGTGCAAACCAAAGCTATGTAGATTCTGTTTAAATTGAGGTTAAGTTTTAACTTAACACCTTTTTACCAGCTTGATGGAATCAATGTAAAAGCACTGGGGAGAGGTGCAGGAATGTGCCTGAGCCTGCAGGAGAAGGGCTGGGCTGTCATTTCAACCCTTAATCAGTCACTGAGGCAGGAGAGATTTTTTTTTGCCTGGAGATATATATATTTTGCAGCTCTTCATTTTAGAATCATGAAGGTTGAAGACTTCTAAGATCGAGTCCAACCATTAACCTGTCACTGCTGGAACTCCTAAACTCTAAACCATAACCTGCAGCCTCAGAGCCAGACACCTCTTAAACACTTCCAGGGATGGTGACTCCACCACCTCCCTGGGCAATATTCCAGTGCCTGAACATCCTAACAGGGAAAACAAATTCCTGACATCTAATCTGAATCTCCCCTGTCTCAGTTTATGACTGTTCCCTCTAGTCCTCTCACTGCAGGCACAGTAGAAGAAAGGACCCCTCACCTCTCTATAATCCCCTTCAGGTAGTTGTAGAGAGCAAATTTTCCTTGGCTCAATTGGTGTTCCATGACCCCTGGGCCAAATTTCACATGGTTTTGATTTTTAACAATTAGCTTTTTCTTTGTGATGGATACACAAGAAGTACAAGGAACAAAGCCATTCTGTCTGACCAATAAATTTGATCTTTTATAAAGCTTTGGTCCTTTCTTTTTCTTCTTCTGCCCTTTTGGGAAGCCAGCTCCCTCCTTTCATTCCAGGAAGAGCAAGGTGTCATGGATATATAGTTTGGAGAAGAGTTCAGCTGAAGCCTGACAAATAAATAATACTTTCTGCAGCATAAATGATTTTAGGGGTTGCCCCAGCCCTGTGACTTCTGATGTGCTGAACAGAAAAAGCTTTCATGTCATTGTTCTCCCCTCCATGCCCTGGCCCTTGGCTTGTTCTAACTCTGACTCTCCTTATCTTGCCTCATTATCTCAGGACAGCTTTGATCTTTCTTTGTCTCCTTGCTGCAAGGAGCAGATAAGTTTGTGTAGTGCCCACATGGGCTGAGCCCTTTTCTTGGAGTCCACATTTCCCCTCCTTCCTTCTCCCTCTTCTCCTGCACTGCCTGTGCCAAAGGAGACATCACTCCTGGTCCTTGTGACACAGGGAAGCAGTTGCTTTGCTTCTGCACGTGTAGAGGTGTTTATGCAGAGGAGACCTACAAGTCACCAACCCATTGGGGATCAAACATCACCAGTGGAGAAAGGAATTCCTTGTCCCCATAGTCTATGTTTCATGGGCTCACAGTCTGGATGCAGCTCTTCTGGGTGGATCAGAGAATGGTCCTTTGGGTCTGTTTTCCCTGTGTGTGGAATTCATTTAGGAAGGTTGCACCACAGCAGAGGTTGTGAATGCATTTAACTGGCATTCCTAATGCAAATGAGAGCACTTAGGCTGTTGGAGAATATCCATGTTGGGAGTTTAATTTTTGTTTCTGAAAAGGGATGTTGTCCTACTTCACTGGGTGCTCATTAATACCACGATGAAGTGGTGCTGGAGTGGAGCAAATGCAAGCCTGGCTGTTTGCATTGGGGTTAGAGGACATGGAAATGGAGCCTCTTCCTTCATTTCAAGAGTAAGAATGGATTCACCATCCAATCTTTCCTGGGGATAGATAAAACCTTTGGTCTTCCTATTTGGGGAATCCCTTGGACTCGGTGCTGCCAGTTTGTGGCAGGTAGGAACAAAGGTGAGCTCTTGCCTAGCAGGCCCATGTTGTATCCCACAGGCAAAGGAGATCACACGAAAAGGAGCATCTCTTCTGCATTGGCTTATGACAGGGGTTCAAGTCAAGGAGCTGCAGTTTGGACATGTTGGACCAGTGTGGACTGATCAGGCAGAGGTCAGGCTGAAGGCTCATGCTGGTGCCATGTGCCAAGCTGGTGGTTGGGTAGTTGGGGACAACTAAAGAATCCAAAGGCATCAGAGGAGGAAATAGTTTGAGGTGAAGAGCCTCAAAAATGACTTCTCTTGTTGGTGAATGATCCTCAGCTAAAAAGGGGTGTCCGTTGTCTTTGTGAGAAGGATCAGTGCTCCAAAGAGAATACAAGATCAAAGAGGAACTGTGTGTTGCACCTCCAGCTGCTCTCTGGAGCTCTGACTGCAGTGAGCAGCAGTTTGTGGTGCACAGCACACCAGTCCTGAAGTGAAGGACAGGGTAGGACATGCTCAGCTGTAGAGCTGTACCGGAAAATCCCCAGCTGTGCCTCCACAGATTTTGGGTCAATCCACCAGCAAAGGCCCTCAGAAAGTGCCTTCTTAACTCTGTTTTGTGACCTCAACACCTTGGCAGTGGAGAAAGAGATTTCAGCACTTCATGGACTGCCATCCCTCTCCTGATGCTGAGGAGTGGGGTAGAAGGAACAGTGGGTGCTCTTTGTGCAGACAGACTACAGGGGGTCCCCTTCCCTGTAGCTCTGCAGAGCAGCACCTTCCCCTCCCACCCTGCAGCCTTTCCCACTCAGCTTCTGCTTTCCTGCCCCTGCCCACCTCGGCCATTCCCACTTCCAGCTGCTGTCAGAGAGGGATAAGGGGAATGTATGAGAGGTTCAGGAGGAGGTTCAGTGTCAGCTGTGCAGTCAGATACAGCCTCTGTGCACTGCATGGTGCTGATGTGGTGCAGCTGGACATTAGCCCAGGAGATGGGGGTGTCCAGAGGAGCCAGAGGAGAGCAGGATTGGAGTCACAGAGCCCTACAAATACAGACCAGGCTGTGGGGCCAGTGTGCCACACCTGCAGATCCTCACAGCCTGAATGGCTGCACTGGGAGAGCTGGGAGCTCCATCACCACCACCACCAGCCCAGGTGGAGGTGCCAGCACCATGTCACCTCAACCAATGCCACAGGTGCTGGCAGTGCTGTCCCATAGCTTTGCAGGACATGGTGGCATCCTCACGTGTGGAGCTGTGGGACAGGACTGGCTTCGTCCCTGTGGCTGCCTCCAAGGCCAGGTCAGCCCCAGCCTGTCCTCAGTGTGGCCAAGCAGCACAGATCTCTGCAGGACAGGACTGCATTGCAGGGAAGGGTTGTCCTTAGCTGAGTTAGCACAGCAGCTTTCCTGCTGCTGGCTCCAAGAGCTGCTCCATAGCTGGGGCTGTGGTCCAGCAGCCCTGAACGGACAGTGAGGATTTTGGAGGGGACAGAGCTGCCAAAGCCTGTGAGGGAAGCCCTTACCCACACCCTCAGTGTGGGAGTTCCTGAGCAGAGCAGTGATACCCAGTTCCAGGGACTAGAAGGAGAAATTGCTCACTCCCTGAGGCAGGGAGATGCTGGGTGCTCACTGCCCACAGGGATGGAGGAGCTGATGCCAGGGCTGTGTGTGGCTCCTCATCCATCATGCCCTGCAGCCTGCTGCCAGCTGCTTGCTGTGGTGGGGGCTATGTTCCCATCGAGCATACATGTCACCAGGGGAAGCTATTTTTGATAAAACAAACAAATCTTTCCTGCTTTTCTAAAAATAGCCAGTGCCCTTTATTTTCTCCCCCTCCCTTCCCAGCTCAGGCTGCCTTAGAGACAGAAACTTGCCTTGAGCCATCCAGTTATTAATACCAGTAAACAACCCCTTATCTCCAGTGCCTTGTTCTTGTGGGAACATATGGGGGCAGGAGCCACCTGGTTGCCAGAGCCCACGTCCCTACGTCCATGCATCCCTGCTGCCTGGCCCTGGCCAGCTGATACAGCCAGGGTGGCTGGTTTGGGTTTAAATTGAGGTTATTTCTTGTGCAGCTGTCACTTTTGCTGGCTTGGGCAACTTGTGGGATGCAGAGTGGGATGTTGTTGTCCTTCTGGGAGCTGGGGATGCTGCCTTCACCCCCTGCCCCTTGGCATCCCCATCCCTGCCTGCACAATCTCCCCATGGCATCAGAATGGGAGGCTCATGGCACAAGTTGGGCAGCTCCTTCCTCACAGCAGCACACGGCAGAGGCTAAAAATTCAGATTTATGGGAAGACCAGGATTTGTGGAGGCTTGCTGCCCAGGGAGACACCCTGCCAGGCCGTGGGTGATGGATGAATGGAGTATTTCTCATCAAGGAGTAAAAAGAGAAATACCTTTTATTACAGATAAAAGCCTCTTATGTTTCTAGAGAGCAGAAGGCAGCCCCACGCAGGCAGGGACAGAGCTCTTGGTGCCAGGAACATGGAGCTGCTGCTGAGTCCTCTTCTTCTTCCTCCTCCTCCTCAATAGCAGTGTGCAATGGTCTCCATGTTGAGGAAACGAACGTGCATCTTGGTTTCAATGTCGATCCCCTGCCACATCTGCAAGGGGAAGGAGGTGAGCAGGGCTGGGGGGGCCAAACCCCAGGTCCCTGCAGCTGTCCAACTTCCCAGAGAGATGAGTGGAGATGCCACCAACCTTAAGGAAGTCTTCAAAGGTGATGCCCTCATACACCTGGTCTGGCCCCTGTGCGCAGCGAGAGAGAATATTACAGCTGTCCCACACCAATGGGGCAGGGCATGGGGGTACTGGGTGACCTGGGGCTGTGGGACATGGGTGCACAGCACTGACCCCATACCATACCCCATGGCCAGCCCAAGATTTGTTCCCAGACCATCATGACTGCAAGGAGCTGCCTTTTCCATAAGCACTAAAGCCCCAAGCACAGAAGGTGGGGCTTTATGGGATGCTGTTTGCTGATCCCCCTTGGGCTCTTATAATGCTAAAAAAACCAGCCTGAAATCTGCAGCCTGCAAAATTAATCTCAGGCCAGAGCAGCCCAGAGATGGGGGAGATGCTCTTGACAGGACAGCCAACTTCCAGCCCCATTTTTGATACCACCACAGCACCTCTGCACCGTGGCAGAGCAAGGAACTCCCACCATTTGTCCCACACAGATGCTGGCTGCCTCCATCATGGCCCCGTCGGCAATGGACCGTGCCGACTCCTTCTCCAGGTGAGGGTTCCCCGACAGCAGCTCCTCCACCACCTGCAAGGCAGTGGGTTAAAGCCAGAGCCAGGAATTTGGTGGAAATGGGGCAAGAGGGACCATACGTTACATTTCTGTACTCCTGCAGGGTGATCTTCCCATCGTGGTCCGAGTCGTACATATGGAAGAGGACTGGAGGGATGAGAGGAGTATGGCAGGGTCAGGGCACCTCCTTCCCACCATCCTCCCCTGCCTCAGCCCAGGCTCTGGGCAAGCCTCACATTTGAGTTTCTCTTTGCGGAAGCGATCGAGCTGCTCCTCGTCCATGTTCATCTCGATGGGTCTGAAGTAGGACATGATGGTCAGGAAGTCTTCAAAGTTTATCTCGTCCACCAGCCCATCCGACTCCTGCCGCAGGTTCCTGCCGATAGTGGAGCTGCCAGTGAGAGCTGCCAGGACCACCCCAGCCACCCACTCCCACCAGCCACACAGCCCAGTGTGTCCCTCAGCAAGGGACTCTTTTTTCCCCTAAGATTTAGCTTCCATGTCTGTAATTTTCCCCCTGCTCCAGCCCAGCTTTTAGAGAGGTCTTTCCCCAGCCACATCCCACTTCCAGAGGATGAAACAACTACCCTGATCCTTCCTACAGTGCTGGGGGTGTTCTTACCGCTTGTCAAAAAAGGCATGGACAATTTTCCCCCTAATTGGGTTGAACTCCAGATCAGGAATGCTGTCAAAATTCTCCTTGCTGCAAAGGAAACAGAGAAAAAGTGTGAGTGAGCCACAGAAAAGGGAGATATTCCAACAGCCATGGAAGCCCCAACTCATTCTTCCAAAGCAATCATGAAGAAATGAAGAGGCTTTGGATGAAAATCCCTTTTTGCTTCAATTCACAGAGAGCAACTCTGTGTTTAGCACAGCTATTGGGAAATTTTGTCCCCACTAAAATGGGTCTTTGGGAAGCTCTGGGACACAGTGACTTGGGATGACACTGAGCGTGTTGCACAGCTCAACCTGCAAACATGGTTTTTGGAGAGTTTCCCCAGGAATAAAGTCCCAAATGGGACTTGATGAGGCATGGGAAGGAGCTCCTGCTGTCCACCCTTCCCTCAGCTTCCTCTGCATCCCACTGCTGCTCCATGCTGTGCCACAGACACCAGGCTGAGCCTGTGCTGGTCATTTGCTATCGACTATTTATAAAGCAAATGAGCCAAGAAATAACCCCTGGGAGGGGGGAAGCAGCAGTCAGTTGGGCTCCCCAGCAGTGCTGGCTCCACATGTGGCTGGTGAAGCTGGACAGATGTGCCAGAGCTTTCCTGAGGAAGCTGCATCAGGGCTTTGGTGCACAGATGCTCTGGATGGGGATAAAGGTAACTACAACCTCACTTCCCTCTCCAAAACTGACTTTTAAAGCTGGGGTGGAAAGAGATGTTTGGCAGGAGTGACCCTGCTCTCAGGTCATTGTTTCACAGCTCATTTTTCCTTGGATTATTAGCAATGCCACACTGCAGAGACCATCTCAGCATGGCTGGGGTGACTGAGAAAGACACACTCAGCCTCACACCCCGACTTGGCTCCCTTGGCCAGCCTGGGGTGGTGCTGTGGGTGATGCTCTGGCCAGTCCTGGCAGTGGGAATGGAATTTCCATACCGGATCGTCAGCTGGTCCTGGCTCAGCTGCTTGAATCGCCGGTGCAGGTGCTCGATCTGTTCAGAGGTGACTGTCAGGGCAGAAGAGAGAGGTGATGGGGTGGGAGCTGAGCAGGATGTGGAGTGGGTACATCAGCAGCCAAAAACCAAGCCCAGCTTTCCAGTTGCTACTGATGCTCAAGGTGAACCAGACCACTGGGGAGCCACAAACCATCAAGGTGGGCACTGTCTCCCCCAGGGATATAGCAACCCCAGTGCTGGGGTAGGGGCTGGAAGTGAAGGGTTGGCAGCTTTGCTTTGAGCCCCACAGGCACTGAGGTTACAGAGAGGCAGCAGCACCTTCTCACTTCCTTAATCCCATGGCACAGGTGATTTTATCTTTCCCCACCTATTCTCTGCAGACTGTAACCAAGCTCTACAAACCCCTGAGGACACACAGAGCCTGACTCTCCTGTAAATATTGACAGCAGCCACTGCCAGGAGTCAGGGAAGTGGTTTGCAGCTCTGTCTCCATTAGCTGGTGGAGGCTGCCTGGGCACCAGCTGGACCCACACGCTCACTGCAGACCTGGCTGGAGCCAGGTGTGGGGCAGGGCCACACCAGCAGCTGGACCTCAGCCTTTCCCAGCATCATGGAGAAAGATAAAACCATATTAAAGTATAATTGAGGGCTTGCAAATGGTTAACTGCTGCGACAGAGACAGCAGGTCAGTGCTGGGCCGAGTGCTGCTGGCTGGCTCTCTCACTCTCTTTTATGATGTTTAAATAATGTCCTTTGCTTTTCTGACTGCTGTTTCACAGACTTGAAATAGAAACTGTATTGATCAGGGAGCCTTCACAGACCTCTATTAATGGACTGGAAAACTCATCTGTGCTGGTTGCTGGAGCTCTGTGTCTGACAGGACCTCTGTCTGTGCTGGCAGCCACCAGCATCATTGTAGTATGGGGCTATTTAACTCCCCCCCACCCCATCAGTGGCTTTGGAGGTTCCCCTGGATGGCTTTGGGGGTCCTCCCTCTGAATCCACTGGATTCCAGTCTGCATGGGCCCCATTGATTCAGCCATATGATATTTTTTTCCCTTGGAGCTCTGTGTCTGACAGGACCTCTGTCTGTGCTGGCAGCCACCAGCATCATTGTAGTATGGGGCTATTTAACTCCCCCCCACCCCATCAGTGGCTTTGGAGGTTCCCCTGGATGGCTTTGGGGGTCCTCCCTCTGAATCCACTGGATTCCAGTCTGCATGGGCCCCATTGATTCAGCCATATGATATTTTTTTCCCTAATTCCTCTGTGCTCTGCTGTGCTGCTGTACACACACACACACACACACACACACACACACACACACACAAAAACTTTCCCTGGACTTTGCTTTCCAATTTTGGCCATGGAGAAGTGACCTTTCACTTTCTCCCTTGATAACATCACCATCACCATGGCAGCAGTTGGCCCACCAAGACTTCAGCATCTGGGACTTGTTTGTGCACCAAAAATCTTTCATCTTTGATGACAAAATCTAGGGTCAGTGGCTGGATGCTCACTGTTGGTCCAGCCCCACTCCACATCCAGCCCACAGCTGCAAGGCTAAAAGAGGACTCTTCTTCCCTCTTTCCCCAAACCCAGCTCTTCCTCAAAGGGCAGGTCTCCCAGGACTACCTGAACTGCAAAGGGTAGCAGCACTCAGCTGCTTTCCAGAGAAAAGGGAAAACCTGCACAAAGAGCAAAGGCTTTGCTGGGAGAAGGGCTGGCTCAAGGGCAGCAGAGGCTGCTCATATCTGTGAGAAACATCCTGATGCTGCAGGCCCGTGGCCAAGCACGGCAGCCTACACTAGAGGGGGAAAAGATGGGATTTAAACCAAGAGGAGCTGGGTTTGCTTTTCCCAGCCTGCAGCAGTTTGTGCTGCTTGAGCAAAGATCATCCTCCGGGAAGAGACTCTGGAGGGGCTCAGCCCACACTGTGGGACTGCCCTGGGTGCAGGGAACACATCATCCTGGCAAGAGCCACTAGAGCCCGACAAACACACTGCTGCAGCTCTGGGATGGAGTACACAGCAGCAGGGAGAGGAACTGGCCCTGACACCCTGAGCAGACTCTGTGGGTGTCCCTCTGGTGGGGGAGAAGGCAAAGGAACATGCCATGGGCACATCATGGGACACACAGGTGGCTCTGCCCTGCTCCTCCCGTGGGACCAAGTGTGACTGCAATGCCCTCCACGAGGCTGGACCGCAGCAGCAAGACTGTAAACCCCCTAAATGCCTGTTATTTCTAGCACCAGCCACAGCACAGCACATTGGGAGCCCTGAGAATCCCCCTGGGAACACACGACACGTACCCTGGTAATGCCATGGGGTCGTGTGCTCCCTCTGCCCTCCCGCCCTCTGGTTTCAATGAGGTTTTTTTTGGGGTGTTGCCCTTGCAAAGCTTTCTCTGGGACTGATTCACAGGGCACTGGGGCATGAGACAAGTGCCTCCCATGGGCAGGTACTGTCTGTGCCAGAGGTGCTGTTGCAGGGTCCCCAGGCCAAGGCATTCCCCAAAAATCTCCTCCCAGCCTGGGTTGCCAGGCTGGCACCCTGCAGGCTTCCCAGGCTTCTGCCTGGGGGGAGAGCTGAGTTGGCCCTGGGGTGCCCAGTGGGATGCTGAACCCTCACTGCGGGAGAGGAGAGGGGGGAAGGAGAAGAGGGGAGAAAGGCAGATGTGACTACAGGATCAGCAGCAGCACTGGGGGCAGTTGCTGGACCCTCCCAACCCCTGAACACCTTTCGGCTGTGGGCAGAGCTGCCCCCCCTTAGCCCTTCCCTCCCTTCATTGCAGCCTGTTCTCAGCACAGCAAGAGCCGAAGGATCCAGGCAGGACCACCCCGA